GTAGGAGTTTCGTTCGTTATAGCAATCTCAATTTTATAGGTAAAACCGTTCGTTATAGGAATATTCGTAGTAGGATCCGTTCGTTATAGCATATCCCACTGTATATCCATTTAAATAATTTTTGTAAAATCCTTTGCTGTTTGTTTGAGCTATCACATCAACAACTCCGAAGAACACTTGGACTGAAATTATATACTGTACTGTATATGTTATGACTCCTGCCTGGGATAACAAAGGAAATTTAACCCATCAGTTAAATTCACCTACTTTTAGTATCCTTAGCAACCATCTAATTTCTCTTAAATTGATTGGTTACCATTTGTTTTGTGAATTGTGTCTCCATATCATTGATGAGGCATTGCAGCTCATTTAGCAACCAGTCAACTTTAAAGAATTCTGATAGTTGCTAAAGACACCAAAAGCGCAGTCTAAAAGTTAAGTATGAGAAGAATCTAGTTAAAACAGTGCCCTTTTAAACAACCTGAAAGGAAGAAGTGATCAAACACCTAAAAATGAGGTTGCACTCCATCCTTTCTCAACAAACGTTTAAAACGGTGCAAGTGTAAAAGGTTTCTGTGTGAAATAAAAGTACAGTGCAGGTATAGGGAAGTGTTCTTAAAGTCTCCAATTCAGCCTTTATTTATTGTACCCAGTCACTCTGCCAAGTAGAGGTATAGAAGTGTGGGAAATGTTTTGTGTGTGTGAGAGTGTACAGTACAGTATTGAAGTGAGTATGAGATATAAAGAGTAAATGTGCAAGAAAGAGTGTTTGTGGGTGAGGAAGAATATATACTCTGTATATATATATATACAGTGAAACCTCTCTTTACGCGATCAATTGAACCCACGGAGGCCCGCGTAAAGCAGGAAACCCGTAAAGTGAACAACAGAACAGAGGGATTAATTGAAATAGAGACTGGGCCGACTCCCACATTCCACTTTTTCAGACACAATACCTACGTTGTAGTAAAAATAACTTATTAATTTTATGATGGTATACACACTCAATTAATAATTAAGAGAAGTATCAATAATATTAGGTTTTTTAACACTTACATTAGTAGAAAAGATGGCTGGGCACACGGGGATGGGGGGTTGGTTCCGAGGCAGACGGCAGATTATTGGCCCTGACCTGTATCACTTGTATCAATTGTATCACTCCACCACAGAGGCTTGCATGGCCTCCTTGTCAAACCCCTCAAAGTCCATATAAGGCCATATCCTCACTATCACTGACTTGGGCCGGCTGTGGTGGGTGGCGGGTGAAGAACTCGGTAATGTTTTGATGACTGGGCGACCTTGTGCGAACCCTGCCCGCGCCGCTCTCCCCGTAAAAGAGTACATGCACCGCGTAAAGTGAGCATTCAAGGTCTGGCAGGGTACCGCGTAAACGTGGAAACGCGTAAAGTGGGGTAATACTGTGTGTGTGTATATATATATATATATATATATATATATATATATATATATATATATATATATATATATATATATATATATATATATATATATATATATATATATATATATATATATATACACACAAACACACACAGAGTGGTCCCTCTCTCGGTTAACGAACACAATTCGTTCCACAGATTCGTTCGATAACCGAATCCATTGCTTCAATGGGATATTGGGTAATTGGTTCCAGTTCACAGAAAAGTACATACAAAGTAAAAAAAAATGCAGTAAAGTACACTTACTTTGAGGTGTGTATGTAGAAGGTTCCTGGTTGATGATGATGGGAATTAAAAGTGGGGGTGGAGGAGAAGGGAGAAGAGAAGAAAGTGGGGATGGCGGAGAAATCACCTTTCAGGGGACCCATGCTTGATGCAGTAATTTCACCAATAAAATTTTAAGTTCACTAGGTGTAAATCAAGATTATTTCGTTTGTAATTCCCTTTAAAATGGCTGGCAAGCGTAAAAGTGAGAGTTCTCGTTGTGCTGAGAAGAAAAAGAGACACCCATTTTAGAATTTAGACTTACGACTTGGTGTGTATGTGTGTGTGTGTGTGTATATATACAGTAGAAGTCAAAAAATCCGGACTGCCTGGGGATTGGGTCGGTCTGGATGTTCGGATTTTCCGAATTCTCAGGCAGTACTTTTAAAATTCAAATTTAAGGAGGAATAAAGAAGAGATGAACAGATACATTTTGATAGTTTATTCATTAGAAAATATAGCATGCTTCATTTATCAAAACGAGCAGTTTTAAAGAAAAAGCTGTGAATTCTAGAATTTTATTCTTTGCCTTTTTTATATCATAAATTGTAGACTTTCCAATGTTGTGTATTTCCATTAGAACAGTATTGCTCACACCACGTGCTATTTTAATTATTTAAAGTTTGTCACTCAATTTCAACGTGTTCTTCTTTCTCTTCACACAACGAAGTTTATCTACTGTAGGAGCCATTATTATGGGCTCTGTAAATGGAAAGAGTAGGACTCAAAATTACATACGTTGTCACAGTTTGATTGCTCGTTTTAAAGTGGCGACCGGGTAGTCGCTTGTTGTCGCTGTGCAGCTGTGGCGCTCACGCATGCACACTCAAGCCAGCTAAAAAAAAAAAAAAAGTTTGAGTTTTCGAAAAGTCCAGATTCTTGGGTGGTCCGGATAAGAAACCCCTTGCTGAGAGTTAAAGGATTTTGTTTTGTATGTCTCTGTACGTTCAGAAATAAAATGAGAACACTAACTGGTGTGTATACCATTGTTGAAACAGCAGATTTGTGGTTTAGCATCCAGTCAAAGGGTTGGGGGTAATATACTAGCTGCTGAACACAAATAATCAGAGGATCAACACCTGTCCAGCCATCATGCATTGTAGCAGGAAGGCTTGTATGCATACAAAAATTTATATGTACTGTATGTTCTTAGGCTAGCACTATTCTTTCTTCTACACCTTCACTGGGTAGACTGTTCCACTGGAAGAGTTACCTGTTAATGAGTCTTTTTGTAATGTTTAGTGATGACTGAAGTAAGAATAATAAGCTATGGAAGAAAAACTGATTGAGGGAACTCATTATGAAGGATGTGCATTATTATAGTAGAATTATAATAACAATAATATTTATTCAGTAAATTTGTCATACAGATTTACAATACAGTAGGTTGTAGACAATGTAGGTATATGGTGAATGTAGACCATGGGAGTACACAGTCTCCTAAACTTTCCTGTGTGCCTAGACAGTGCAATTCAACAACAATGGTAAATAATAAGACAACTTTACCAAGGATAACCGAAAAAACTGTCAGGCGCCTATTTCCAGGAGGGTGTTTTGCTTAGTCTTATGCTTGGTCTCTAATCAGTACTGTAATACTAGTATGTTTACAGGATTATTTGTGAAAGGTAGTTGATAGAAATCAATAAGTACAGTATTACATTGGGCTGTCCGAAGCTGGCGGATCACTATCACAGTTCTATATTCTGTGGTTTAATACAGAAAATGACTTCTCTTTCTGTAGCTTCATATACAGTACTGTATTATGTTTTTCTTTGTTTTAACTTTGAATTGCTTAATACCATAACTGGTTTTGTTGTGGTCTGGTAACTTGTTCTAGTCTATTATACCAGTAAAGAAGAAAATGTTTTTCACTTAACTGCAGACACCAGATACCATAAAATTATGTTCACTCCCTCTAGTGCCTTGCTGGTTCATGTCCCTAATCCTAGCAAAAAAATTTTTTAGATACTCTGAGCACAATCCATTGAAAATCCTGTAAGTAAGAGATACCAAAATAGGAATTGGTAAGGTAAAATTACAAAGAAGGTCATCATCATCAACAACGTTTTACGGCCATTTTCCATGCATGAGTGGATTAGCTGCGATTACCTGCTTGTAAGTCTCCATGCTTCACGATCTCATTTCTTGATCAGCTAAAATGAAAAGCATTGAAAGATGTGACATAAGGAGACAAAGATAGTATAGTTAGGGAAATGAAATAGCAGAGAGTGAGTATGGAAGACAAAACATAAAAAGGAAAAATGGAGAGGCACCAGTTGTGTATATTTTTTGCTGGTTTTTTTTTTTTTTTTTTACAACACATCACTCCCATCTCAGCATATGACCATGACAGAAGAGCCTTCTGCCCACCCTATCACTATATGCAGTTCCTATATATCCTTTTTATTCCTCATATCCCTACCCCTGTTTCATTCTTAATACGTACAGTATATTTCTCTATGCTTCCTTGATATTGTACAGTCGTGTATATGTCGTTTCCCTCTACTCAGAGCGTATGCTACATTCCCCCCATACACCCTCTTTACTGTCTACTCTTTATGCATCCTGCTCACATGTCCAAAATTTACACCCTCCGTTTTGGTATTTATTTTATATGGTTTCTCCTTCCTTGGAAAAAATTTCAACTTTGTCTAAACCCAGTCACAGGTCACTGACCCACATCAGGGCCTGGGGAGTGAAAATATAATAGTAATAATAATAATAATAATAATAATATAATAAAAAATAATAATTATTATTTTTATAATAAATGATAAAAAATAATTACCATAAATAAATACAAAAGCGAAAAAATAAATCAAGGGTGAGAAACGATATACATTATGTATGTTGTGTTGTCAAAGTAAGAGAAACAATTGACCCTGCTATTATGTGTAAATGAGGCTGAAAGTCAGATCAGCAACCTGGGACTTGGTCACAATTTTTGTGTTGCCATATGGCAGCATGGTCTACCGTTAGACAACACATTATGCTTCCAATATCAGAGTTACTGAGAATTATACAGCTTGGGTTAAAGAGATGTCTCTAGATTACTCTTAGAGTTCTACATGAAGTGCAGTTTTATGGATGATGAAAAGTTAAAGCAGCAGCTCAAAATGATTATTTTAATAACTGAGCAGTTTTCGTTCCCATCTGGGGCATGTTTGGTATGTTATATCCATCTGTACAAATATCCATCCATCAATAAATGCTGGAGGAACAATTAATGTGATTGTTTTCAAGTTAAAGATGTGTTGAATATTTTGATATCCACAGAACCGGAACAAAGAAGAAGGATCACGAAGGGAGCACAGACACAAGGAACGGTCCAAGTCACAGGAGCCAGACTCTGACGTACCTACCAAAGAGAGCAAGAAAGAGAAGAAAGAGAGAAAAAGAGTGAGTGTCTTGTTCTTTCTCAATTTAATTACAGTACTTTTTTTTTTCAATTGGTCAGCAACAATGAACATTTTCTAAAGGGTGTTAAGTATCAATTATATTCTACAGAACAGTATATTAGACTGATGAGTAATAGATTACAGTACTTTGTGTGAATCTAGAATCACGGTACAGTACAGTGTACTGTATTATAATACAGACCAAAAGGGTTGTTGAATTGTAGATACACAGTGTGTCTCTTGTCTGTTACCTCTTCCACTTTTTGTTTGTGGTGATTCAAGGGAAAAAGGTGTGAGGAAATGGTAGGTTAATTTGACATGAGAAAAGTGTAGAAAGTAACAGGAAAAGGCTGAAATGACAATAGAAACTCCACAAATTGTAAAATAAGATGGCAAGGACATTCAAATACAGTGTGCTATGATTTTTATATAATAAAGGGCTGAGGTGATTTTTAACATACACACCTTCTCCCCACCTAGTTATTATATACTGTATCATATTTGTACCACTTATGTTAGTTTTATAATATTTGTCAATCAAGTGACTCATTCCCCAATTATGTAACTATATTTTCAGCCTTTTGGCTGCCATGCTCTTAAAGTAGACCATTAATTATTATTATTATTACACACACACACACACACACAGAAAGAGTGAAAGAGCAGTACTTTCAATTAATGGCCATTGATAATTATAAACTAATTTCATAGCAGGTCATCTTTGGAGTTCTGTATACTGTATATCATATGTTTAATTCACTCATTATTTCAGGACTTTTGCCACAGTAATGCAGGGTAGCTGAAATCAAGAACAATCACACCTCTCCATACACTTTCTTCCTTAATTTTGTAGTCATTCATTATTAGTGCTGTTATAGATATGATCTGCTCTGGGTACTCTCCTTCCACAAAGAGGTCCCAAATAGCAATCTGCCTTTTCATCCAACAGCAGCACTACATTCACACACTAATCTAAATTATTTTTTCTTGATTTTTCCTCGTTTTGGTAACTGAATACAAGAAGGTGGGGTTACCAGCCCCATGCTCCCGGACTGGGAGGGGGGGCACATCAAGCCCTGAGCAGGTAACCTGCTCCATTGTTTATATACAGTATTTATGTAGAAGTAGGCCTAAACTCTCAACTGTGTATGCCCTATACACAGATGTGTCAGATGTGTGTGTGTGTACAGTATATATATATATATATATATATATATATATATATATATATATATATATATATATATATATATATATATATATATATATATATATATATATATATATATATATATATATATATATATATATATATATATATATATATATATATACTGTGTATATACTGTATATATATGTGCACAGTGGTCCCTCGGTTAACGAACACAATTCGTTCTGCAGAGTCGTTTGTTAACCGAAAATTTCGTTAACCGAATCTATTATTTCAATGGGATATTGGGTAATTGGTTCCAACTCACAGAAAAAGTACACACAAAGTACTGTATAGTACTAGTAATAGAATTAACAAAACATTAAATATAGTACTGTACTGTACAGTATACTGTACAGTATACTGTACAATAATAAATAAAAACCAATAGAATACTGTATTTTAACTTACTTTAAGGTGTATATGTCGTATTCCCGGCAGCTTTGTTTACATATCAAACAGCAAATTGTAGAGGCATTCGATGATGACTTGTGCATTTGTTCTAATGCCTTCGTGTTTCATAATAATTTCTGCACTGTATATTATCAATATGTTCACTAAATTTCAGAATGACCAATAATTTTAATGTAAAAATGCAAAAAATATTCAAGAGAACAACATAATCCATGTTCACTCCACTGTAAACAAAGTTAAACTGAGATGTGTTGTTGGGTGATTCAGTCAGCTGATGGGCGCACAAAAACTGTTCCCTTTACTGTCTATATTATCAATATGTTCGCTAAATTTCAGAATGACCAATAATTTTAATACAGTATAGTCTGGATTTACGCGGTTAATTAAAACCATGGAGGTCCACGTATAAAGCGAAACGTGTAAGTAAAATAACAGAACCTATGGGATTAATTGAAATAGAGACTGGGCTGACCGCCAGACTGCCCTTTTTTTTGGCTATTGCCGACACAATACTGTACGTACATTGTAGTAAAATTAGCATCTTAATTTTATCATGGTATGCACACACAATTAATATAAGAATCTTCACTTCAGTTAACGAAAAAAATTTAGTTAACGAATTCCTTACGAATTTTTCCCAACATTTTTTCGTCTGCTTTCGGCTGCTCACTAGCTGTAGTATTAGTGCGCCAATACAGTAATCGGTTTTAGGGCTTAAATTCGTTACCATTTGAGTAAATATCAAGAAGGTTGTACTATTCAATAATTTTCCAAGTCTTATATTAAAATTTTTAGTCATTTTAACCATTATTTAACATAATTGAAGTACAGGGAACTAGTTTTTATCTCACCAAACAGCCACTTGACTCGCCCAGAATGGCGTCAGTTTGTGTCCCTGCTCAGTGGAGGAAGCATCTTGCTTGAGACTCTCTTGAACATAAACTATTTTTACATTTTTACAGTACAATTATTGGTCATTCTGAATTTTTTTTTACATATTGACAATATATAATGCAGTGCAGTGTTGATTTAAAGAAAATAATATTGAATTACACCAAGTGAACTAAAATTTTATGGGTGAAATGACGACATGAAGCATGGGGTGACTTCTCTTCCACCCCAATGCCTTCTCTTCTCCCGTCTCCTCCACCCCCATTCTAATTCCCATCATCATCATCATCAACCAGGAGCCTTCTACATGAACACCTCAAAATAAGTGTACTTTACTGCATTTATTTTTAGTTTGTATGTAATTTTCGGTGAGCTGGAACCAATTACCCAAAATCCCATTGAAACAATGGTTTTGGTTAACGAAATTTTCGGTTGACGAACGACCTTCTGGAACGAATTGCGTTTGTTAACCGAGGGACCACTGTATATATATATTTCTTTTTTGTTCCATACATTTTTTTGACTTGTGTCTTGTTGTTAAGGTAAATCTCATGTTTCCTACATCTGTCTCACTAACTGATGTGTGATGCCTATCCTAATAAATCTTTATGTTTGCTAACCAAATGCTTGAAGATGTGGAAGTGGCTATTAACTTAAGTATTTAAGGAATACTAAACATATGCACCATCTTGAGTCTAATTACTACATATATATACTGTATACAGAAAATAAATATTGAGACACCAGGACATGAGAAATAGAAAGTTTAGTAAAAGACTAAACATAAATGATGTTTACAGGATCGTTCTTTGGAGGAGGCAGCAGATGTAGAAATGAAACGGAAAAAGGGCAGTGACGAGAGATTAAAGTCCAATGGTCGATCAGAAGATGATCACAAACACAGACACCAGCAGCATCGGGTAAGAATGTCACTTGTGGTGAAGAAACTAGGCAACTCAATTAATTATTTTACCTTTCTGTTCTCATATGTATCAGTGCAGCACAGAAATATAATTGATAAATCTCAAATATTCTCACAGTGAACACTGCTGCAATGTTAAATGTATTGGAATTTTGTTGTTGTTGTTGTTGTGAAAGATCCTGTGATGGTGTTAAACCTAGGGTAAGTGGAAGAGTGACATTGAGAGAAGGTTTTTTCCTGTCCTCCTGATTGAGATGGATTAATAGGTATCTTCATTGCTGAGATATATGCGCTCATTGGTCAAACTTTGTTTAGATTTTTCAAGGAGAAGATCTAAACAATGTAAGATTAGCTTGACAGGGAATGCTACAGGCAGGAAATAAAGGTAGATTTCTAAACAAATGAAAACTTAAACAAGACCAGTCATGATAAGAAAATTGAAGGTAGTGATTCAAGAGCTGGGGAGATCTGAACATAATTAATACACATTCCTTTTCTATACAGGGTACAGAGATGGGTAAAATTGGAGATAAGTTCAGTAAACCTTCAATTTACATCAGTTCTATTTGTATAATTTACAAATGCTGTGGTTGCATGTTTGAGTCCTTTGTCATTAGCTCTTGAATTTGTCAGTACAGGTGTAATAACTTCTTTATGCTCTTCAGAGCTTTTGGTTATGTGGTGCTAATGTAAAGATATTAGTGGCCATGACCTAATTTTGCCAAATTACATGTAAAAAAGGTTGATACTGTAATAACTGTTGCCAAACAATAGTTTATTTTGCATGTTTCATTGATTGATGCATTATGTTTTTTGTTTTTTTCAGGCTGATAGTGAAGAATATCATGATCGGTATATAAATGAGAGTCGTGGAAAGGACCATCGAGATTATGATTATGAGCGTGGGGAATATGAGAGAGATTATGAAAAACACCCATCAAGTAGACACAAACGCAAGAATTAACTGCCCCAAAAAGGAAATGGGCACTGATTTTTATTGTTAGGTATACTGTGGTTGTATTCACCATTAAAATTATAAAATGAAGCTGGTTCCAAGGGGATTTGTATGATGTTCACCAAACCAACAGGTCCACAACTCAGACTGATCCTTGACATTGATGGATGATACTAATTAAACAATTAGTGATACTCTTTCATTGTAACCACTAACATGAAAAGGGAGATTTGGTATCACAGTGGCATAGAAAACCTTGCCTTTCACTGTTGATTTTCTAGAACCAAGTACAGTACAGTATTGATTAAACCATCTTTCTGATCAGTAGAAGACAATAGCCTGACAGCCTCATACATACCAAGTCCTTTACCCCCCTATAATTTTCATTACTAGATGGAGTATTATGGCTATACCCCTCAGTTACTGAAATATTAGTACTGTTCTGCAGACTTTGCAAAAGTCCTTTGCACCTTAATTTAGTTAGCTACAATCCTCTCCTTCAGTACATGTTACTGTAGCATTTTGAGATTTGACTTTCCCATCTCCTTTCTCTCTTTTAAATGGCTTCAGGTACACTCGCAACAAAAAGTAT